GGAAACGTCCGCATTCGGATGCCGTCAGCACAGTAACCATGTGCTTGTTGTGTGTTAGCAAAAAAGTGCTGTGATCTGTTCCTCGAGCTCAGAGGCCACTAGCACTTGTTGCATTTGTCATAATAACTCCTTAGAATGGCCCTAGAAAATTTAGATGATTTTCCCTCCGGTAGGAGGTTTATCGCAAGTGGCTTGTTGCTATCTAGCGGAGTTTGAAGCTACCTCGCGGATCAGAAGCACCAAATTATGCCCTGCCGAGTCTCTGCTTTCAGCCGTTTTTCGCATATCAGTCCGTCAGAACTGATCATCAATCAAATAATTTTGCGACATCAACAGCAGATTGGCCCGGTCGTAACTCCGCTTGCGGCTCCTCCGCTGCCAGGAGCTACATACTGAGTGCGTATTTCAAAAACAAGCCACAAGGGCAGGAGATTCCCCTCAAAGCGGCGCAAGTTGGAGGGCTCGGGCGCGCCGCCATCAACGAGGAGCACGCTTATGACGTCAGGAACGGTCATCGGAGGCTTCGAATAAGCACATACACGTCCTCGAGTCACGGAGTGCCAGGACCCCAGCAGACTCGATCGATCTATCGGTCGAAACAGACCATGTCCTTTGTCGTCGACCGTAGCCATACGGCTTCTTGGGGCGCCCACGTTGGTCTCACATGCCAAGACATACCCGTTGGCCAATCCAGCACGTCGTATTCCAAAAGTATGACGCGGTGGGTTGACCCGCATCAAAAGTATCATATGGACTATGGGGCGGGGTCCTGATCACTCAGGACCTGTCCGATCGTTCAACTTTTCAATTACCCTAAAAGGCAACCGATCTTAGATAGCGTAGCTACTATGCAGTTGTACAGGACTTTACTAAGCAGCGTCGTAGACAGTATAAGTAGCACGTCGTCTCTTTGTATTAAAGAGCTTTCCCCCGGACTGTGAATCACTCTCACTTCAGATTGTTTTGTACAATTTGCGTGTCGCGTGATTCCACCCTAAGAATTTCTGCCATCCCTGCCCGGTCGCGACGAGTTGCTCCCTGAGCACTTGTAGCTACTGTGATTTGAGTTTCAGTTGAGATATCAGAAAGCCGGATTCGCCGCATCTGGTATTGTCGCGGCATTTAGTGTCGTCGCCTTAGGGCTTTGTTGAGATCGTTCCACACCTCTAGCTTGGCAGTGCGTCGACTAGTTGTGCTCGGGTTGTTTTGGTCAGTTGGCAGTGCGTCGACTTGAGAACTTTGGATCCACACTTCTTGCTTGGCAGTGCATCGACAAGTTGTGCTCGGGTTTTGGACATTGGATATTGGCTGTTAGTTGGCAGTGCGTCGACGCGGCATTTTGGTTTACTAGTTGGCAGTGCGTCGACTCAGTACTTTTGGTTGTGTCAGTTGGCAGTGCGTCGACTCGACATTTTGGTTTACTAGTTGGCAGTGCGTCGACTCAGTATATTGGTTGTATTGGTTGGCAGTGCGTCGACTTGATATTTGGGCTTTGCATCACCATCTAGACGCTGTCGCTACAAGGGATCTTAATACTTCGTATTAAGCTCTGACTTGTTATATTGTTGGTTGTGGATTGGATTAGTGTTGGTTGTGTTCGTATAGGAGATATTGGTTGAGATACCATTGTTTGCTATATATAAATTCTTGTCGTCGACTTTGTCTCCGCGACTATTGGATCTGCGTCTATTGAGAGTTGTGATACTGGCGCTCTGTCCACCCCGAAGCCCTCGCATCTTTCACACACTGAGAAGCTGATTACGAGGAGTGTGAACGTGTTTATATTTGGGTTTACTTTCATAGTAGATTCACTTGTGAGCACGCCCTCAGCATTTCAACGGATCGCAATTTGCAAAATGAACGCCTGCCGCCCATCCGCCCGCTACCACTCAGGTAGGTTTTGGGCGCCGGAAAAACCTACCTAACTGGTAGGATTTGGGGGGTGACCAAGGTGGGTGAGAACCCTTTGTACTCATCATGGGCGACTACCTATTGATGCTAGATGGCAAGGGCAGATACAAGATAATAGCGTTATACTTGGACACATTCTTGCAATTTGTTTGGGGGTTCATGTAAAAAGAAGCAGGATCAGCTAAAACAACAACAGCAGCTCTAGAAAACATATGCAGGAAGTTCCACACACCAGAGGTCTTCATGTCAGATCATGACAAACACTTTGCCAACAAGGAAGTCAAAGCCCTGTGAACGTGTAGAAAGGTGAAGTTTTACAAGGTAGCGGTGCATGCACCAAGGATAAACAGGCTGGTGGAAGGAGCAAACAAGCTCCTGCTCCATGTGCTGGCCAGGCTATGTGCGCCAAGTGTAGGTGAGGACAAGTGGAAGGCAACAAAAAAGCATAACCCACCACAACAATGGCCCAAACACTTCAACAAGGCAGTAGAAATGCTCAACAACCAAATCCTACCCGTGGTAAAGTTCACCCTGAGAGAGCCGATGTTTGGCATAGAAACAAAACAAACACAAGAGGATTGGACATGAGCAAGTGCAAGCACATCGGAAGGCAAAGCAGCAGAGCACATGGCCTACATGGAACAGATAAGGCTAGATGGATATGCGGAAAGAGTCAAATACTCACTGGGAAGGAAAGCAGCATTTGACAGGAAGGTCCTGAAGTCCAGAGCAGGAGAGGTCGTGTTCAGCAAAGACGACCTAGTGCAGGTGTTTCGAAATGACTTGGCTGACACGGTCAGCAACAACAGGAAGCTGACGTGCCAGTGGTCAGAGCCACACCAAATCGAAGCATGCATGCTCCACTCGTCCCGGCTGAAGACAATGGAAGGGATGCGAGTTGAAGGCATCTTTAATGCCAGGAGACTTTGATGATACAAAGCATGAGAAGGAACAGCACTAGCAAAGGCCCAGGAAGAGCACAGAAGAAGAACAAAGAACAAGGATGAGGCAAGCAGGACAGACGAGGAAGACACAACAAAAAGACTCAGAGCAGAAGAGTCAACAGAAGTAGAGCAATGGCGCATACAATAAGCCGAGAAGGAGCTCAGGAGTTGGACAGGCGCCGAGGACGACACCATTTAAAATGGGGGCACATGGAGTAGAGGTCATGTGACCAGTAGACGTAGGAGACACACACGTACATACAGACTATCACATCATAGAGGCGACCAGCGCACAGAGGCCCACTCCAGTGGAACAGGATCTTTGTAGTTTAGCACACGAGACAAAAATAAGATACTAGAGTCACTCAAATTGAGCTGGGTATCCAGCACCAAGTCCTCCTTCAACGCCGATGGATTGTGCCACAGTGGTGGATCAATCAGCTCCGCCATGCACTATTTGAGGTGCTATACCTGGCTGACCAGCCAAGGTCCCAAACGCGCAGACGGCCAGTGCGAGGGAGGCAGCATATATTAATTTTGAGGACTGGGAAGACTCCCAGGCGCAGACGGATGCGCAGGATATAGCATTTGCCCTAGTACAAAGTCAGGATCTGTGTGACACAAAACTGTAATCACGCAGCATAGAAGGGGCCCCACAGATTGAATCCAGGAGAAAATGGCGGCTGAAAGGTATTGGTTGGAGGTTGTCGTGCTGGCACAGGCTCTGGAGCTGAGCTCCACCCTGTCAGGGGAACCCCTGCTTTCGTCCGATCATCCTGGGATCTTGCATGTGACCGTGCACGCGCCATCTGTCAGGCATCACATGCTTCGGTCCGGACTTCCCTGCCAAGCGCATCCACATGACACTCGGGCCCAGACCCCCATTGTTCCGACGGTCCGGCTCCCATTGTTCTCCCCCGATCCGGCCCCTCATTGTTCCCTGGCCCCATTGTCTGGCGCTTCCATTGTGCTTGGTCATCCATTGTTCTGTAGGCTATATATAGTGGGCCCTGACAAGGAGAGTCCCCAACTCGGTTTCTCTTTGGACTCTCCCTTGTCAGGTTTGCCAGTCTCCTGTACTAGTCGATCCCTTTATCTGACGCTTTGGACTCTCCCTTGTCAGGACTCTGAGATCGGGCCTCGAGGTTGCCCTTACACACCCGAAGAAAGGCCTCAATTGATTGAAGATCATGGATAGAAGCAAACAGAAGCACAGCCATTGAGCGATTGACGTCGGCGATCTACAATGCGGTGTTGTTCATACTTCCGGTGGGCGCCCATTGAAAACCTGTTGATAGCGGAGACAGGACGACAGTTAATACAAAGTCTGTAACTGTAGACATGCCCCCAAAAGCCTATTTTCTCAATGACACGCCCATTTGCACCCGCTTTTCTGATCGCTTTATGCGATCAGGCATGCCATCACGCAAACGGGCATGCACTCGATTCTGTGCACTGGACGGGCTTATTGGCCAGTCTGGGAGTTATGGTGATTACATACAGTGTCTTAGGAACTCAAATCACGGTTGCAGGGAAACATATAAGCTCAGAATTTAAGCAACCAAAGGTGCGGCGGACGCATGTCCGTTTGTTGACAACTAGACAATGTAGCCACGTGCATTGAGCGATGATAATGTAGGTGTGAGTTGTCGTCCTCAGCCGTAAATTTGAGACCTTTCCGTAAGTTCAGGACACTGCCTTTCTCCCCAGAGTCAGTGCGGGCATGAGCCAGGCATATGGCCATGTCTATTCAACTCAAATCAGCCAGTGGGCAAATCCAATCATTCCGAATAGGTCTTGATTCACAAAATGGCCGGCATACGACCTGAATTACCTCGAGCTGTGGGTCAGTAAAGGTTGCCATGGTTTAACTTGTCTGAAAGGATATATTTCGTTGATATTTCGGATAACAGTGGCCAAGGGAGGTTGATAATGCTCAGAAGATGATGTGGGATTTAATTGGGACAGTTCTAGCGCTCTGTGTTGATCAAATATCATCTGTCAAGATGGATGTTGTGATACACATCTATGGCTCCATCACGTGTCATCTAGAGTCATATCGACTCGTCCCAAATAGACACAAACAGCCCCCTGTATCATATATAAGGAGGGCTCTATTACCCTTTAATACAAGTCTCTTGACTACTCCTGCATAGTGCCCACACTAAGCTCTCACGCACACAGGTGAGCTGCTAGACGCTCTCCCCAGTGCTCAACAGGTTATGGGCCCCGAGAGCTATGTCTGCGCCTCAGTGGCCGCGACATTCATTGTATGCGCCGTCACTGGCTGCAACGATGAGCAGCGTCTTTAGCCTATCTGTATTCACTTCAGCTGCTGTATAGCGCTGGTGAAACCATGCCGGATCGCGATTACATTGCTTGATCCAGATGCATCAATCTCTGAAGGAGATTATGATCTATGAGGATCTGATCATCTTTATCTTTGATTTAATCTATCAGATTAGATTGATGCTGATCACTCACACAGATCTAACATGTCGTCCAACTCCAACAACATCTTCAATGCTGTCTCCATCTTTGATGGAAAGCACTGGCTTGTCTGGTCCGGAACTATGGAGTCCTACCTGGAGCATCAGGGGATCTCCTATGTGCTGACCGAAGCTGCGCCAACCCAAATCAAGGTGGATGGCGTTGTCACCAACGCATCAGAGATCAAGCAATGGAAGCATGACGACCTCAGGGCCAAAGGCAGCATTAAGTTGCGCCTGACTGAAGGTGTCATTGCTAACATTCCTGCCGCTGAAATAGTGTCCGCTGCCAAGATCTGGGAGCATCTGAAGACCCAATATGGTGGTGCTCAGTGCGCCGACCTGTACGCGTACTTCCAAGCCGCGTTGAACTCCAAGTACAACGTACGGTTGCACCTGGATCCACAGCTGCTGGTGATCACTACGGCGTTCACTCGCCTGGAGAATGAGTCTTTGATCATCCCTGAGTTCCTCAGGGCGATGATCATTCTCAACATAGCCCGGATTCCCTCTGTCACGGAGACTGTTCTACAGACTTACGACAAGGACAAGATTAAGGTCTTGGTGGTTTGCGACGCTCTCTTGACGCATTTCGCTCAGAAGCAGTCTCAAAGCCAGAATCATGTGGCCAAGTTCAATACCAAGCGCAAGCGCGATGACCCTTTGTTCACCAATCAGCAACAGGGCTCCGGCTCTGCACCCGATAAGGGTGATAAGGCTGATGGAAAGAAGAAGAACCGTCGAGGCAAGCGCAGTGGGAAGAACAAGGACAACAAGGGCAAGGGCAAGGCTGATCACAGTCATGTCCATGGAGTCTCCGAGATCACTGGCTCCCTCACTATTGGTTCAATCGCCTCTCTCACTCCATCTATCCCTGCGCCAACGATCTTGCATGTCACGCACATCTCTCGCGATGGACCCAAAATCCGCGCAGTTCAAGAGAAGTCTCCCGTTAACAACAATGGGATTATTGACACCGAGTTCCAGAAGCCTACTCGTAAGGTCTTCGAACTGGCCAAGAAGATGGACGTGACGGTGACCGCAGAACACTTCCGGACTCTTGACAAGATTGTCAATGAGAAAGGAATGCTCCACGAGGACGCAATCATGTGTTCTCCATCTCCGGTTGCCTCCAGCTTGAATCACACCCTGGATGGTGGTCCTCCTGCCAAACGCAGTCGTATCGAGGAGATCCCCGACGTCGAGATGGCCACCGGCCAACAGAACAATCTTGATCTTCTGTTTGGAGATAGCGAGTTTGCCCAGGCTGAACCCGTCAATTGGGATGAGGTCGTCGACTTCAACACCCTTCTGGAGGAGATGGACGCTCCTTCCGCCGAAAGGCAAGTACCCTGCCTTCTTGCGCATATGCACAATTCTGATTGTTGCTCACAGCCAGAGCACGTAATCACCGCCGCCCCGGGTTCTGTACTTAATTTGTTGATGATTCGATCACATGATTTTTGTACCAATCTATTCTGTGTGCACTCCGATTTTGCTGCCTGCTCTAAGTGTAAGGGGAAACATCATCACCATCATGAATTAGGGCCTCTATGGCTTCTCGATTCTGGTGCATCTCTCCATGTGACATCGGAGATTAGTGATCTGGTCGGATATGAGAAACTCTCAGATCCTATTGTTGCTCAGACCGCTGATAAGAACACACGTGTTGCCCTTATTGGTCAAGGAACAGCCTTCATCAATCATTATGTCAGGGTTATCCTGATGTCAAAGCCTAGCACGGCTGAGACAGTGCAATCCATGTCCACTGTTTACAAGGTGGATTATGAGATCATGCACCGGCGATTTGCACATCCGTCGAAAGACGTTTTACGTCAGGCAAAGAAAAATACCAAGGGCTTTCCAGAAGACCTAGTATTTCCCGAGGAAACCCGACCGCGTAAAGGATGCGCGCAATGGAAAATGCACCAACGTGCCTTCCCGCCTTCCAAAAACGAGCGGAGAATCCGTTTGATCTGATCCACTCGGATCTCAAACAATTTCCCACGGTGTCATATCACAAGTACCGTTACTTCATGAGCTTCTTTGACGAAGCGCTCTCCCATGGCTGGACAGTATGCCTTGCGCAGAAATCCGACGCCAAGCAGGCTATGCGCAATTTCATTGCGATGGTCAAAAACCAGTTCAATGTCACCATCAAAAAGTGGCATATTGACAATGGGGGAGAATTCATGGGGATGGGAATGGAAGATTTCCTCGCGGAACAAGGAATTCTAGTGGAGAAGGGTGCTCCATATGCTCACCAGCAGAATGGGCATGCCGAGCGCTTCAATCGTACGATCATGGATAAGGCAGAAGCCATGTGCTTCACTGCCTGTCTCCCTAATTCATATTGGGAATTTGCGATAAAACATGCGACACGGATCTACAACATGACACCTATCAGGCGTCTAAAATGGAAAACTCCATTTGAAGCCCTTCACAAGGAAAAACTGGATGTTTCCGAACTCTGAGTCTTTGGTTGTGCTGCATATGTCTTTATCCCTGATGAGAAGCGCGCCAACAAGTTATCGCCCAAATCGGAGCTGATGACCTACTTGGGCATTCCTGATGGTGTGAAAGGATTTTTATTCATGCGCACAAACAATTCCACGTTCGTTGCCACCAAGGCATTGTTCGACGAGGAGTTGTTCCCCCGCTGTCCTGACAGCAATCGACCACCCCACGTTCCTGTTGGAGAGGAATTTCCAGAACGTGATGACCCAGTGAATCCACAAGATCCACCACAGGTAGACGGAGAAGATTGGCTATATGGAGATAACCCTTTTCCATTCCCCATGCCATCTGATCCGGCTCCACCACCTCCCGTACAAGGAAATGATGATTGTGACGACGGTCATAATCGTCAGGACCCACCGCCAGAGCGTTGGGATGAACCTCAGAGGACTCGTAGAAGTAGAATTCCACGACCAAGTCGGGAAGCTTCACCAGCTCCTGAGCCTCGAAGGTCTTCACGCCAGCGGAATGTGCCTACATGTCCAGGAAACATCTATGGGGAAGAGCGTACCCCTACGGATATAGTCCGTGACATCCAGAACAGCAGAGGCTGGAAGCGGTATGTTGGTGAAGATAAGGGTAGCTCCCAATCTCAACCATCAACCGGTGCTGATGCAGGGGTTCCCGGCCCTAGCTCGCAACCAGATTCCTCAAACGCGGGTGGTTCTGATGATCTAGACGAGGATGCACGCATGGAGAAGCTATGCCGGGAAGGGGGAGTAGAGCTCATCACGGCGCTGCTGTCAAAAGCGGTTCCAAATGAGAACCTACCTGACACGTCCAAAATTCGCGATTGGATGTTCCGCGATATCAAGCGGTTGCCTTCTGAACAACAGAAAGGTTGGATTGATGCTTGCTGCGACAAGTTAGAGGCACTTCGTCAGTGCAAGGTCTATTCCCTTGTGGACCGTCCAAAAGGACGGAAGGTTATCAGATGTCGCTGGGTCTTTGACCAAAAATCTGATGGCCGAAAACGTGCCCGCCTAGTTGCCAAGGGTTTCAGTCAAGTCGAAGGTGTTGACTATGACGAGATATTCTCTCCTGTCGTCAGGTATGAGACGTTCCGGTTGGTCATGGCGCTTGCAGCGCTAAATGATTGGCATTGGTCTGGACTCGACGTCAGTAAGGCTTTTCTCTATGGAGAGCTTGATGAAGAGGTCTACATGGAACAACCCGAAGGCTTTGTGGCAAGAGGCCAAGAGCGCAAAGTCATGCGCTTGCACAAGGCAATCTATGGACTCAAACAAGCTGCTTTAGCATGGTGGAAAGCACTGACCAAGTCCACGAAAGCCATGGGCTGGATCCGACTTACATCGGATGCCGGCGTGTTCTTCTACAAGGACTCTGATGGCAGCATAGTTGTCATAATAGTCTATGTGGATGATGCACTGTTCTTCTCCAAGAACAAGAAGCTCCTCGCCTTTCTCAAGGCTGAGTTCAACAAGCAATGGGAATGCCGCAATTCTGAAGATACTCCAGAGTTCTTGCGCGTGCGCCTCAGTAGAGTAGGATCTTCGATCAAAATTGATCAGATTCCCTATCTCGACAAGGTGCTAGAGCACTTTGGAATGCAGAACGCCAAGTTCGCAGCGACCCCTCTACCGGCTGGATATGTTCCAATGCCAAATGAGGATGAAGTCGATCCACAGCTCAGGAAGAAATTCCAATCAGTCATTGGATCTCTTCTCTTCATCATGCTAGGCACACGTCCTGACATTGCATTTGCTGTGACCAAAATGTCACAATTTGCTGCCAATCCGTCCCAAGACCACCTCCATAAAACGCTGTATATCTGCCGCTATTTGGCTGGTACTAGGAATTATTCGCTCATTTTCAATGGTGCGATGGATAGAGGGCTAATTGCATTTAGCGATTCAGACTGGGCTGCTGATCCAATCAAGAGGAGGTCTACCACTGGTTTCTTCACAAAATTGGCAGACGGGATCATTTGCTGGCAGTCTAGACTTCAGCGCACCGTCGCGCAGTCTTCGACCGAAGCAGAATACATGTGTAACGGAAGCGTTCAGAATGAAACGAGTTCCGCTACAAGGAGGAGGGGGGGGAGACAACACTGAGAGGGATAAGGACTAGATTGACTAAGGAAAAGTTCCCCCACAGGAGGTATCTACTTATGTACGGTGATCGGCGGTCAAAGCCAGCCGATCGAGGACCTCAGTCAGGAAAACAATCACATGACATCTGTAACGGGATGTTCCCGCTACATACGCCCTCCAGCTCAACGCTGGCGGTGAGCTCATACGCTCAGAAACATTATTTCAAGTCCACATTCAATTGCAAGTCTGGAATGGCGTCGAATCCATCCACGAAAGTAACTGTCAATATTAGTAAAGTGTCAATCAAAAATCAAAAATCAATCAATGTCAATCACACATCATTCTTGTATCCACCTGCCCTCCTCGACGCCGGACGGACCTCATTCATCATCAAAGGATTCTTTCACGGTCTCAGTGGTCTCAGCAAGCGAAATTTCGATCGCGTGTGAAGCAATACCCGGTGGTTTCCCGGGCTTCTCCGATTTCATTGCACTCATATCAGGGCAGTTTCGAGACAAGTGCCCGCGTTCTCCACACTCGGAGCAACGTCCCTTGCTCAGGTACGTAGCTCGAGTCTTGGCAGGCAACTTTTTGCCGTCACGCGTCACGTAGTCCCACGCCTTCTCGTTCTGGTCCTTCTTCGGAGTTTTGACAGCAGCACTTGACACCGAGAAAGCTCGCCCTCCGTTGCGGCGCTTCTCGTTCTCTGTAGCCAAGATATCTTTTTTCCACTTGGGCTGATGTCTTGGCGCCTCAGCTACATCACTGTCGGCATCCTCAAGGTCAATATTCACGATTACCTCAGCAGCTTCAGCCCCGCGAGTAACCTCATCCCAAGTCGACATTTCCGGATCCAAATTTGCGCGGAACATTTCCTTCCGAATTGACGTCTTCAAGCTACGACAAAACATCACCACTTTCTCTTGGTTTGCCTCCAGACCAATAGTATTAAATATCTGCTCCCACTCGGCCGTATGGACTAATACAGATTTGTCATCTTGCTTGCACACATTCAATTTCGAGCGCTGTTTCTCACGGAAATTCACAGGGAAACAGAAGTTGAATAGACCCCAGAAGAAGTCTGATAACGTCCAGGTATGTTCATCATTTTCCACGCGACTGTTATGGAACTCTCGTGCACGGCCAGACATGAAATACGACAAGTAGAACGTTCGTTCATCAGCGGGGACGCGGCCGAGCTTTAGGTAAGCTGTTCCCTCTTTCACAAATCGGTGGAACGCTACCGCATTAGGAGATCCGTCATACTCCTTTGGCGGAATTGGCTTCAAGATCATTTTCGGTTCGTTTACTGAGACGTTCACAGTCTCTCCTTGCCTGGAACGACGTGGCACTGTCCCGACATCCGAGGGATTGCTGGACGGCCGCTCGGATGGAGGGGGTCCGCCAAAGCTATCGACGTTGTGCAACGCACGCTCGATGAAGCTTCCCGCCCCGGTACGAGTTGCAGGAGTCCTCTCACGTGCGTCTGTCTGGGCATGCGTCGGCGGCACATCAATGCTGATATGACGTTTGATGCTGTTCTTCACAGCAGTCTGGGCCTGGGACAAGCTTTCACCTCGCTTGTTCTCAGCATTCAGCATCTTAACGGGCGTCGAGGCCCGAGATTCCGTCATTGCTCTATGCAAGCTGTCAATCTGGCCCTGCAACTCAACAAGGCGTTCCTCCACGCTCTGGCTCTTGCGCCCAGAGACGTGCTCATTATGTATCATCATATTCTGCTCCGACAAGATGGTCATTGGAGATCTGCGGCTTTCATGCCGAACCGAGACAGACGGAGGTAAGTAACTGTCCTCCTGCTTCATGCGTCTGATCTCATCAAAATTCGCGAACGCAGCACGCTGAGCGTCAAGATCATGCTCAGAGAATCGGTCCGACAGACCTCCCCAGTTACGAGGATCGGGACCCTTGTCCTTCAAAGGGTAGGATGGACCAGTACCCGATGGGAAGGCAGGACGGGCCTTGACTGGGAACAGGTAGGTCGACTCGAACATGGGAGGGGAGGACGAAAACAGCGCGGGGGATGTCTCACCGGTTACTAACTGTTCATTTAATTTGGCAATTCTATCATCCAAATGACCGAAATCAATATCATTGTACGGGTCCTGTCCACTGCCCTGTGAACTAAGATCGCGATCTGCAGCCGCGGCTAAAGCTTCCTGCGCAATAGCCTGGTGGCGACGTGCAAAGCTCACCAATTCCGTGACACTCATGCCTTGCATGGCGCGCGACATGGTTGTGGAAGTCTGTGAAGCGACGGTTTGTCGGTCGCTGACAGATTGATCCTGACTAACCCATGAACGCATCACTGACACGGGAGATCCACTGCGCTGATGAGCCTCAAACTGGCTCTCAGCAGCAGTATCCAAATCGATCAAGGAGTTTTCTCGTCCATAGGACGGCTTCTCCGAAAAAATGCGCTCTGCCATCAAATTCGACTGATAAAATGAAGACTACAACTTGTATCTTGCATTATAGTCCTCTCGATCGTTCAGGACCAAACGTCTGAGGTCTGATTTCTCGTTCAAAGCGCACCCCAGCTGCAGAGTATTTAAATGGATCAAATGGAATTGTTCAAGCTCATCTGCTCCCTTCTCGTCCCCATCCCCCATGATTTCTGAAATCTTCGACCCCTCCCCCTGCCTGGTCCCATCCATATCTTCAACGTCGTCCGTAGACGGAGCCGCTACAGATATGGCAGGCCCCAAGGCATCTTGTGTTGCGTATCTTCAGCGTGTGCCACCGCCGAGCGATCTGGAAGAGTTCTATACCCGAGCCAAAGAGAGCGTCGCCGCATCCTCTCAAGCGATGCTGGAGAACGATGGCGGCCAGCTGCTCCACTTCTTCATCACAGGTGGCATGCGACTCGATCAGACAGCTTACTGCTTCGTGTAGACGACTGTAGACGACGGAGATTAGTAAGTCCTCAGACGAGCTAGATAGTAGCGGTAAGACTCTTTTTATTTACCTGTCACTATAGTCAGATGGTTTTTGAGCCTAATAGGGTACCAAAAGTGGTCGTTTTTTAGCCTTAAGAGGGTCCAAGACCACTTCGTGGTCTCAGACCAACCGCTTTTTGGCTACAACCACCCTTCCCAAATCGGGTAGCCAGGCCATCTGGACCACTGAAAAAGGGCGGTCTCAACCAGTTTTCGCCAGTTGTGTAAGGGCGACCTCGAGGCCCGATCTCAGAGTCCTGACAAGGGAGAGTCCAAAGCGTCAGATAAAGGGATCGACTAGTACAGGAGACTGGCAAACCTGACAAGGGAGAGTCCAAAGAGAAACCGAGTTGGGGACTCTGCTTGTCAGGGCCCACTATATATAGCCTACAGGACAATGGATGACCAAGCACAATGAAAGCGCCAGATAACGGGGCCAGGGAACAATGAGGGGCCGGATCGGGGGAGAACAATGGGAGCCGGACCGTCGGAACAATGGGGATCCGGGCCCGGGTGTCATGTGGATGCGCTTGGCAGGGAAGTCCGGACCGAAGCATGTGATGCCTGACAGATGGCGCGTGCGTGATCACATGCAAGATCCCAGGATGATCGGACGAAAGCAGGGGTTCCCCTGACATCACCCCCCCTCTTGATTGCGGCGCCTCGACGCAAGGCACGGTTGGGGGTCGACGAGTCCCTGAAGGGCAGCGAGTCAAATACGGCCGCTGCGATGACACGTGGCTTCCCAGGGTATTTGCGGTAAAATGCTGCCACTGCATCGTCAGCAAACACATCTGAGTGCTTGACCCACTGGTCATGAGATGGGTCATAGCCCTTCCATCGCACTCGGAACCAGACACTCCGGTATCGCATCTTTGCGTCTAGGATCTCCTCCACTTCCCACTCCTCTCCTTTGCCTTGTCCCAGGACAGGTGGTGGTTCTTCATGACGCGGGCGAGTGGGGAACGGTGAAATGCTGAGGGCGTGCTCACAAGTGAATCTACTATGAAAGTAAACCCAAATATAAACACGTTCACACTCCTCATAATCAGCTTCTCAGTGTGTGAAAGATGCGAGGGCTTCGGGGTGGACAGAGCACCAGTATCACAACTCTCAATAGACGCAGATCCAATAGTCGCGGAGACGAAGTCGACGACAAGAACTTATATATAGTAAACAATGGTATCCCAACCAATATCTTCTATAAGAACACGACCAACACTAATCCAATCCACAAACAACGATATAACAAGTCAGAACTTAATACGAAGTATTAAGATCCCTTGTAGCGACAGCGTCCAGATGGTGACGCAAAGCCCAAATATCAAGTCGACGCACTGCCAACCGATACGACCAATATACTGAGTCGACGCACTGCCAACTAGTAGAACCAAAATGTCAAGTCGACGCACTGCCAACTGACACAACCAAAAGTACTGAGTCGACGCACTGCCAACTAGTAATCCAAAATGCCGCGTCAACGCACTGCCAACTAACAGCCAATATCCAATGTCCAAAACCCGAGCACAACTTGTCGATGCACTGCCAAGCAAGAAGTGTGGAACCAAAGTTCTCAAGTCGACGCACTGCCAACTGACCAAAACAACCCGAGCACAACTAGTCGACGCACTGCCAAGCTAGAGGTGTGGAACAATCTCAACAAAGCCCGAAGGCGACGACACTAAATGCCGCGACTAAACCAGATGCGGCGAATCCGACTTTCTGATGTCTCAACTCAAACTCAAATCACAGTAGCTACAAGTGCTCAGGGAGCAACTCGTCGCGACCGGGCAGGGGTAGCAGAACTTCTTAGGGTGGAATCACGCGGCACGCAAATTGTACAAAACAATCTGAAATGATAGTGATTCACAGTCCGGGGGAAAGCTTCCTAATACAAAGAAACGACGTCCTACTTATACTGTCTACGACGATGCTTAGTAAAGTCCTGTACAACTGCATAGTAGCTACGCTATCTAAGATCGGTTGCCTTTTAGGGTAATTGAAAAGTTGAACGATCGGACATGTCCTGAGTGATCAGGACCCCGCCCCATAGTCCATATGATACTTTTGATGTGGGTCAACCCGCCGCGTCATACTTTTGGAATACGACGTGTTGGATTGGCCAACGGGTATGTCTTGGCAAGTGAGACCAACGTGGGCGCCCCAAGAAGCCGTATGGCCCTAGGCACGCCAGTCGTCCCCCACATGGTTCGGCTCACGGATCTAGCCGTGTCGATTTCTAGTGTGTTTGGGTGTTGACGCGAATCGCCGTGGCACTTGGGAGTGTCACCGCGACGCGTCCTCAATGTCCCGTGATCGAATGGATCCTGACATGTGACAAGTCGTCGTCGTGGCATGATCTGAGGAAACGTCCAACTCAGAACTGGGAGTTGCCGCGACAAGATGGTTTAAGTCTCGTAACGCCAAGTCCTGTCCAGTAGTAGTTCTATTATTGAGAACGTCGCGCATTGCTCAGCCCTTCAGCCCAAGTATCCATCTGCAGAGAATGACCCTTTTTGAGAAGTCGACGCAACGACAGATTCCTTTTGGGGAATGGTCGCGGTCCAAGCGTTCGTCACTAATGGCCCTGAGCCTGGTATAGACTCATAAGACCAATTCCACAGTAGTGGTCTGACTGCCTTGCTATTGTCGACACTATCCACAGTCGTTGACTGGGCAGTAGACCCTTAAGTCCTACTGAGCGCAACACTGTCAACCGCGACACGATACACCGAGTGGTTCAAGAGTAAACTCTGTAAAAAGCGCAAAAATACGCCCTTACAGAGCTGGTGCAGAGCGTGTCTGGTAGCCAGCCTATCAGCGCGCGCACTTTTTCTCCTCGCGAAGCGCTAGCACCTCGTTGACCGCCTCAATCCTGAGGCGCTTGGAACAATCTGTCAATTCAGGGTGAGAGATGCACTAAACGGGCGTGGGGGCGGCATACTGGGATGCGGCTTTGTCTGTGCTTCCACTTGAAGATCCCATTGCTTGGCCAATGCATCGCGATCGAAGCCCTTTGTGGCAACATGGGCCAGGATGGCTTGAGCCATCTCGCGTTTCTCGTCGCTGAAAGCCTGCCGACGAGATATCCAAGCGCCCAATGTGCGAAGGCTGTTCTGTTCAATGAATTGGACTTGGGCATTCAATGTATACAATCGATGATAGGACTGCAGACTTGTGAGTTCTTGCGCAACTGCAACGAATGGAATCGACTTACCCCGGAGATATGGAGATGGCCAATCAGGCGACTGAGCTGATGCCACAGTCGCTCACATCCCTCACCACTAGTAAATCCCAGCCCCTCCCGTTTCCGAGGGTGATACCGAAGTTGACACTCCAGGCAGTGCACAAAGGCATGGAAGACCGCAACCGCAAAAACCATCCGGGTGATAAACGGGGCAAGGAAGCCCCACTTGTGCAGGGAGCGATGGAGTTGGCAGGCAATGTCATAGAGAATGGCCACCATCACATCGTCTGGGAGGTGCTGGAACAAGGTTTCAAGAAGGGCGAGAACGTAGAATTGCTTCTCTCCCTTCGACTTCATATTTGCCATCCACAGAACGCGATCATGGCAACAGAGGAGCGCCATGACTCCAGTGTCGTCAAATTCCCTGGCGTCAGATCTCATCCGGCTTTCATCTGCCGCTCTGAACGATTCCTCGCAGCCGTCCAGAACGGACTTGGGAACCTGCAAGCCCTCCTCAACGCGATCTTCCTCCTCATCCTCATTGTCCACCTGTTCCTTCGAGGGGGAGTAGGTCGAGGCATCCCTCCGGCAGCGTTTGTGGGCACGGGATTCTCGCGCAGGACCGCTACCTCGGACTTCATCAACATACTGCTCCATATCCTCGCAGGTCTGGGGGTTGAGGAAGACATTCCTGGGATGTGTCTTCGGTGGATCCATGTTTCCCGCCTCCCGCTTATGTGTGAAGCATGCGTCCGTGCACACACAAACATCCGCACTATAGAATGAATCAATCAGTATAGTTGTCAGGGGAACCCCTGCTTTCGTCCGATCATCCTGGGATCTTGCATGTGACCGTGCACGCGCCATCTGTCAGGCGTCACATGCTTCGGTCCGGACTTCCCTGCCAAGCGCATCCACATGACACCCGGGCCCGGATCCCCATTGTTCCGACGGTCCGGCTCCCATTGTTCTCCCCCGATCCGGCCCCTCATTGTTCCCTGGCCCCATTGTCTGGCGCTTCCATTGTGCTTGGTCATCCATTGTTCTGTAGGCTATATATAGTGGGCCCTGACAAGGAGAGTCCCCAACTCGGTTTCTCTTTGGACTCTCCCTTGTCAGGTTTGCCAGTCTCCTGTACTAGTCGATCCCCTTATCTGACGCTTTGGACTCTCCCTTGTCAGGACTCTGAGATCGGGCCTCGAGGTCGCCCTTACAGCAGAAACCGAGTTCCTAGGGATAACTGGACAAGCTTGTGAAGACCGCCGATAGCGTCATACGCCTCTCACTTCCAATCTTGTCCCCTCCTCCCCCTCTACGATCATCATGTCCTACATGGAAGAAGAAGACCACGGGTCCTCCCCTGAGCAGCGACTTGGTAATCTAGAGGAAGCCATGCAGCGAATAGAGGGACTCCTCAACAACTTCATAATCGAACAGCAACAGCCTGCCCCTGTCCCTGCCCCGTCTCCGGCAGCGGGTCCAGGTGTATTTACTGGCCAACAGGCCAGCTCGAGACCCCTCATCCGCCCCAATCCCCCATTCGCGTTTGACGGAGATCGCACCCAGGGCAAGACGTTTCTCCATTCCGTCAAGCAGTACTGGCGCCTCCTCCCTGAGGCCTTCCATGTGAACGGGGTAGTATCAGAAGAGCGGGTGGTACGTTTCGCCCTCTCCTACATGTCCAAGGACTCGGCGGCCTCCTGGTCAGAACGCATGTCAGAGCGCCTCGTCTTCCCATTTCCGACCTGGGCTTCCTTTGTGGCCGAGTTCAAGCTCCGGTTTGTCGAGGAGAACGAGCAAGACCACGCCCTGGCACGACTGGAGACCCACGCTTACTACATGGGATCCCGCAACGTGTTCAAATACACGGACGAGTTCGACGACCTTCTCGACTTGGCGGGTTACTCTGACAACTTGGTCAAGGTCACCAAGTACCGGGCGGGTCTGGACCCCAGAATCAATCAGGCGATCACGACCTCCGGTAACCCGCCTAGCCTCACAAACTACTCGGAGTGGCGTACCCGCGCATTCCGCCAGTACAACGCCGAGGTGGCTGCCCGAGCTGCGTGAGGACAGGTGTTC